GTAATCGTAAGAAAAAAATAATAAAAAGAATACAATTTAGTTTGAATGCATAAATATATTTACGAAGGAAAAAAAAACAAAATCGAGACCAAAAAAAAAATAAGCATCAAGTATAGACACAAAATCAAACAAGAAAAAATAACAAGCATAGGTATAAATATTAACAAGATAAAAATAAATAAATAATCTGAAAGTATACATATATATATACACACACATATAAATTTTAAATAAAAAATTATTAAACTTAACAGAAATATCAAAACATACCAAATAATATTAACTTGTATTTCACTGAAAAAAAAAATTTTGTTAGTGCATGAGGTGGGAGAGAGCGAATGAAATCATAATTATGACAAAATATAAAGCGAATTTATTTATTAGGATTAATTACAAAATGTCTCTTCCAAGTTTAAGTCATGTTGCAATTAACTCCCTCTGATTTTAATTTCAACAATTTGCCCCCTCAAAGTTTTTGTCCAACTAAATTGATCGACAGAATAGATGAAATGTAAAAAACCCTTTTTCCCAACTCTGGTGGCCCCCTTCCCCAACTCCGGCTGCCCCCCCAGGCCGCCTTCCCTAACAGCAATACCACTAACCCCTCTCTAGCAACGCTTCACCTCCATACCCAACACTAACCTTTCTACCTATCTTTGGCAGCCCCTTACCTCCATACCAAGCACAGGAAAATCAAATACAATCCATCAAAATTCAGTCCATGTTTATTTCCATCACCTGAAGACTTTTCTTTCTTTCGCCAACTAGTAAACTGTCCATGTATATATAAACTCTCTCTCTCTCCAGATGGTTGTTTCCTAGTAGAGGTAGATTACTTTTGGGGGAGTTTCAGTTGGGGATGGATTTCGCCGGATTAGTGAAGTTCAATTGCTTGGGGTTTTACTGGAGGATGGATGGGTTGGGTTTTTCACCAGAGGAGCGGTTTTACGGACACTTGCCGACTTTTGTGAGGAATTGATTTTTTTGAGATTTTCTATTAAACAAAAATATGAGACGGGGATAATTTTGTATTTTTGATTGAATTTTAGATCACATTACAAATTTTTGTCACATTTCCGTCATTTTTAACGGTGGATAACTAACGGAAGAATTTATGAGGGCAAATTGTTGAAATTGAAACCGGAGAGAGTTGGAGGGAGTATTTTGTAATTAATCCTATTTATTAAATGGGGTGTATATAATATAGGGTGGACTTAGTAATTAATAGAGTGGATATAGAAGGTGTCTGTTTAGTTGTTTGGTAATGAAAAATTAAATATGTTTTTTCCCCCCAAAACCATCCCCATCCAACCTAACCCAACCCAACCCAGCAACGGCTCCCTGTCCTCTCTCTCTCTCTTCCCCAAATTCATGCCAATAGGTGGCGGCTCCCTGCGCAAACACCCTCCCCCGCATCCCCTCCCCTCTTTCTATTTCTCCCTCCCCTCAAGCGCCCCAGCCCCAACAGCGCCCTTCTGTCTTCTTTGTGGGTCATTGAGAGTTTCTTTGGAGCAGCTTTGAATCTGTCTTCTTTGTACTGGGTATTGCATTTTTGAAGAACTCTTCTCTGGCAGTACGTTTATATTATGTCCTTTCTTTAATTTTTTTTTTTTTTTTTATTTTGGGTATTGCATTTTTGTATAGCAAGTTCCATTCACCTGTTTTGATGAGCTTTTTTTGGTGGCCTCTCTTTCTTTTATAGCGTAACCTTAAGTGATCTGTCTTTCTTTTGATTTTAGCTGAGTTTCACTATTAAGTGATTGCATGCTCTATTGGTGACTTCTCAAAGAAATTGTGGTTGATTGCATGCATCCTTGGATTTATATTTAACATATATAGTTTTTGTTGTGTCAATTGCTTATTGATAATTGTGGCATTGTTGCTTATTGAAAGAAACATCCATGGTAGTGAACCTGCAAGCTGTTTGATCAAATGCCCCTGACATACATTCTCACAGAAATGGTTAAGACAAAAAAGAAGAGAAATTAGCTCAGTCGTTCAAGTACGGGTTCTTTGCATCCAATTCAAATACTAATGAATTAGCTCTGTCGGTTTCAAATATTAATGCTAGAATGATGGCAGGGGGGATTATGTTGCATTATTGTTAGTTTTGGTGCCTTCTTTATTAAAGGCATCTAAAATGGATCATGTTTATTATCAATCAGCTTGAAATCTCTATTACCCAAATGATGCTGCTACCCAAATCTCTAATATCGAAAGGATGGCGTAGTAAACATAGGAGACCATTTAGGAAATTACAAAAAACTAACCAGCTGAGAATAAGAATGACCAGGCTTCTAACTGTTAAGAGTACTTAACCTGCGTCAATTTTTTTTTATCTCATGTTGTTTTGTATGTATTTCATCTTGATTGTTGCTCGGGTGTTATAAAGAGTTCTGATTTGGGTTTAGTTAACTATCTTTTGGCTTTCTCTTTCTTACGGTGTTGCAATTGTTTGAATTGAAATTGGTGTGAGAATTTATATTGGTCCAAATTAGAATTGCTAATTCGATTTTGTATAATATTGTAAATTGTAATTTGATCACACATAGTAATGTAGGTTGATTAGTTAACTTAATGTTTAATTTGGATTGCATAAAAAGGGTTGCAGTCGTTCAAAGAAGAGTACAACTTATGTTGGACCTAGGCTTATTGTTCAATTAACTTTGAGAAAGTATGAGAAGGGATTAAATTTGAAACATGTTTAAATGTGTTCATGTCATTCTGTGTTTAAATGTGTTCATGTCACTCTTTACCAAGAACATTGATGTATTCGGAGAAGCTTTCTGCCTTTGTGGGGTTTTGGATTGATCTTATTTTTTTCCCAAACAAAAAAGACATCATCCATTTTTCAGGCCAAAGATAACTTCCTAGAAGATAATCAACTTCCTGTGTTCACTTTTTGGGGAGGTGACTGTGTTCTTGTGTTCCTAGAAGACAATCAACAAATTTGTTTTATGATCTGTGAATCGATCCATGTTTTATTATCTGTGAATCGATTATATGTTTGAGCTTCTGTTTTGTGCTTTGGTTAAAGAGTTCAAGTAGATTACTCCCGATTGATTTTGTTCACTAAATCAAAAAGTTCATCAATTGTACTTCTGATAGTATATTGATAAAAATATTAGGGTAAATATCATAATTCGTCCCTAAATTTTGTCAGAAGTTTCAATTTGGTCCTTAAACTTTCAAATATCTCAATTTAGTTCTTCAATTTTCAATTTTGTCTCAATTAAGTTATTTCGTCTAATTCCATCATTCGATAAAAAACATACAATTTAACTCTTGCTTGATTATTTTGCGTTCGTTTCTCAAAAGTAGGGTTGATAGGATTCAACTCGAGTTTTATTTGTATTTTAAATGAGCTGATTTTTAAAAAAAATTTTAAATTCCTTTAAAAAATAAGCTTAAAAAGTTTGACTTATTTATAAAAAATAATCGGAATTACTTGAGCTTGTCTCGAGTTTGGTTTATTTTAGGTTCGACTCTTTTTTTAAACGAGTCAAATTTAAATAATTTTTTAAATTCGTTTAATAAACGAGATCGACAAACTCAATTGAAAAGGAAGGAGGCTTTATGCTGTGAACATGATTTTCGTTTGACCCATGTAGGAGGGACAAAGAGCACTCAAATCCCGGTCTCGGTAAACTTGAGTTGGATTTTCAGTTTAACTTTTAATTCTCAAACACGAGACCTACGAGACCACGGCAACTTTATCCGATCCAAATGTGGTTAAACCCTTCTTAACCCAGTATCCAAACACATTGCATGAGTCCGGCGGTCTAAGATAACTCGTTTTATACATATTATATTTTTATTAAATAAGAAAATAATTATTTGATATTATAGCTAAATTCCTACGGTCTACTGACAACCCATAGAAGCAAGCCAAAAAAAAAAGAGCAATGCTCTATGGATTTAAAAAATAAACTTAGACTTGATAATTATAACTATTATTTTCAACGTGGTTTCTATCATTTATTTCATCTTCTAGCATTATCTGCTCATGAAGTGTTCAATGCAGTGCTGGCCTACGAGTTTGGAGACTACTATTCATATGTCACAATCTTAAGGTAATGGTTTTCATACATTGCGAGTGTAAAGTCATTTTGTAGACCAGAGATGTACAAGATGACACTCATCCTCATTTTAGTGCATGAAGAATCTCTTCAACAAATATCATGACAATGAAACTCTGAATAGTGTTTTAGTCTCTCTCTCTCTCTCTCTCCCCCGTTAAATTACATTCTCATATCGATATTTATCACATTTGTATGTATCTTTATTACTGTTGTTGTACCGAAAAAAAGTGATAAAAATATTTATGACAATAGTGGTACAAACACCCACAAATGTGATAAATTATTTACAAAAATAATAATTTTTTTGTATTATATAAAAATAATAACCATGATAAAAAATTTATAATAGTGATAAAAATACCCCTAAAAATAATAAATTATTTGGTTATAAAATTATTCATAAAAATTATAAAAATATTTATATTAAAATAATAAATTTTAATGATACGAAACCAAAAAAATTATCTGGGCTGGTTGTGGGTCAAGGTGTGATTTTTGATTGAGACGACTCATCTGCCTGCCTTTGGAGGACACAAAGTCGGTGTTCTTTGATTTCATCGGAACCGCATTCATTATACATCTGTGTGCTGTTTGGAATGAAATGTTGAAATAACTTATGAATAATGTCTTATTCAATAAGGTGGTGTTTGGATCGCCGGATTTGGAGGGATTGGGCTAAATGGGATTGGGCTAAATTTGAAGGGCCCATATATCCTTGCTTTGGTATATCAAAAGGGTTGGGATTTTCAGTGTGATTCAATAACTCTCCGCAGCTTTTGAAGCCCATAATCCTCTCTCTCAGCTGAATAGTTGAAACCCACGGAAAGTGTGGGATTCAGAAATTAGTCTCTAGGATTAATTGTGAAATTACTAAAACATCCTCTACAGTGATTTTTCTAGAATTTTTGTCTACTTTAGGCGCAATAATTTATGGGCTCGGCTCCAAGACGTCGCCGGACGAGCTCTATTGCACATTGATCGAGATTGACACCGACAGAGACGACTTCATTGATCTGAAAGAATTCACCGAGTTCCACCGTGAGGATCGGATTCAGACGGCAACAAGAAGGAGCTTTCACGACGCTTTTGACATGTATGATAAGGACAAGAACGATTTCATCTCTGTTATTGAGTTGCACACTATGTTGCTGCTCGTTGAATGATTGCCGGAAGATGATCAGTTCTGTCGACGTCGACGGTGACGGTAGCATTAATTTCAAAGAGTTTAAGAAGTTGATGAACAGGTCTTAATTGTAGTTTTTATTCAACATTAACTGTAGATCAGATCTGGAGTTATATTTGACAGTATGAAATTGAAATCTGAAAAATTAGTTTTCAACTATTTGGTAACTTGGTTTTGAAATTCATACTGCCAATTTGATTTTGGAGACAATTGCAATGTCCTTTTGCTAGGATTGCAAGAGGAAATAGCAAAACGGTGGTGAATTGGGGAAATTTATCTAATATATGTGATGATTGTCTATTATTCTCTCTTTTTTTTGGTAAGTAGGATTTTTCGATGACATTTTTTTTTTTTGGATATTTACTTTTGCTGTCCATTTATATTTTTTGTGATAAATTGTGTTGAACAAAAGTTAAAAAAAATTAAAAAAATTGTGTAGAAGGTTGTGTTAAAAAACAAAATAAAAACATACCATACTAAATCAGAATTTTGTTGTATAATAACAGTACAATTTATTTTATGGACTTCATCTTTTTATTACCCGACTATTTCCAAGTACCTACTCATCCTAAACAATTTTTGGCACCATACCCATCCAAAATTAATACAAGATTGAATTATATATTTTTTACAAAAAGGTACAATAGTCATTTTATCATCTTTTACTTGGAAATGTGAATGAGGTCCACAAAATAAATTTTCTCCATTCAAAGCAAGGATAGAATGGGATAAGAGTGAATCAACCTGGACTAATTTGCATTGGATTAGATTGGATTTGAATTCAAATTCTCCGATCTTCTCCTGATTATTCAAACACCACCTAAGGGTATTGGCCCTATAGTCAATTAAATCTGTCAATCGGTAATCGTGTAGAATTTGTATCAAGTCTCTCTCAACAGGTTTGTGGGAAAAAACATTTAAGCGTGTAGAATTTGTATCATATATAAATTGTATATAATTGATATATAAATAAATAATATTTGTATATTTTTTTTTATTAGTTATACTCATATTCGATTTATTTATTAATCACGTTGTCTCAAATTCACTAATTTATAAAACGGGTGATTTAAAAAAGGTTCGAACCCTTTAATTTTGTATTGTATTAATGGAACGTATGATATTTTGACACTCTTATCGACCCCATTGAATATATTTCGTCGTTCTAAACTAATCAATTTTGATCGTGTTCATCTTGGTGTGGCAAATGACGCATTTAAATTGTATGATTTTACAAATCCACGGGATAAAAGTTTTTTGTATCGTCTAGTAATATTTTTATACATGATTTTATTTAAGAAACATAATAAATTGTCACAAAAATAAAAACGCATTTGGTTATTATTTTGAAAGTGACATATGTTGATGATACCGAGAATAAAATCATCACAGAAGGCAAATCCACAACGTAGCAATAAAACTACTAACTAGAAGTACAAAATCAACCAACTTGGGAACGAGAGGACAAGCAGCTCGATGTGGTCACAGTTGAAACCAGTTCAATAGCGTTTCAAATGAGCTCGATTAGTTTGAAGTGCCACAAGAAGAAGAGGGATGAAGAGTAAAGCCTAACACTAGATTCCATCTAAGGATAAGGTCACTAATGACACGTCACTTACTTCTACAATGTCAAGTCATCTTTAGAGGAATATAATTTCTAACGATCAAATATTTTTTTCAATATCGTAACAAACTAACGGGATCACCCATCATTGTTTGAGGAGCACTCTATTAGATAATATAAATAAACAAACCCTTGTCTTATAAGACGGATATGAACAATTGTATACCATAGAGCTGTGACCATCTTGTTTCTCACCGAGCAATACAAATTCTAAGAGCAAAAGACTCCATTAAGAGTGGACTATAAAACTCCATTAAGAGTAGACTATGAAACTCCATTAAGAGTGAACTAATCAAACTTTTCAACTGGTGAACCACTGAACCTCTGGTCTTTGTCGATTCTTATAATTAATTTACTTATTCACACTCTACATCCCGAATGATCTGCATATTTACTTTATCAGAGAGCTTTTTAACCTCTTTTTTTTGTACTTCTAGATTTTCAGCACCATCATATCTACTTATACATATTTATAGGTGCATGATTATATATGTACTTAAACTAAAAAGAAATAGACAAATTTGAATAAAATAACGTAAATTTAAAAATATAAAGTAGATGTTACTTAAAAAATACTTATTAAAGGAAAATTTTTACAATCAACTTCCAACAAAAATAAAAGCATACCTGTCGAGTCCTTATCTTAGATTATGACTCGTAATATCTGGAAGACTTTTTGGGCCTACCTGGCGTGCATTCACATTGACTGAAAGGCCAATCATTCTTTTTGGGCCAACCCCATACTTTCTAGAAGACAGTCCTTGTTTCTTTTCGTTTTATTTATAACTAGGTAATTCGTAAATGAAAACATTTCGAATCGTTTTGAGAGAAATGTTGGTGGTCATTAAATAAATTTATTTGAGACTATTAAATAAATTTATTAAAATTTATCATTTTTTATATTATAAATAACTAGTCATTATGCACACACGGTATCAATGTGCAGAAAAAAAAAAGAAAAAAATATTAAAGTGCGAAGAAATTAGAATTAATAAATATAGGTATATTAATGAGGGAAGTTATAGCTAGTAAATCTCCTCCCTTGTATGACACTGCCTTCTATGATTCCGTATTTTATTCCGGTACTAGTTCTAATTCATGTCTGAAGGTACGATAAAATATAAAATTTGAGTGTTCAAAAAATCGATCCCACTAAATTAAATTTTTTCAATATATATATATAATCGTATATAGATAATGTTTGAAAAAAAATTATGTTAAACTATAAATTAATCAAATATTAAATGATTGAATATGTAATAAAAATAAGTGATGTGATATTTTTAAGAAAAAAATATATAGAGAATAAAAATTCAAGTTACTGTATATTTTGTAATATAGATTATCGGTGATCTTTAATATCTCACTGCCCTCGGCTAGACATTAACTTTGCAGTCAACCAAGTAGGTCAACATATGCATGCCCCTGGCCAAGCTCATTTCATTGCCGTTAATACTTCGTTACCTTAATGGCATGATTCACTTTGGTCTCCAATTGTATAAAGATGTTTTTGATCAAATTACTGCTATTCTGTTGTCGAAGGGGTCGGATGTCCATACACTCCCCTATCTATAATTGATTATTGTGTCTTCGTTGGTTTCCAATCTCTACATGCTTTCCAACCCCGCATCAATTGCGAGGGTTAATAGCTCACATTAGTGTTGTAAATATTTAGTTGTACAAGGTTACTCTCGTAATTGTTTTTGTAAATATTTCATATATATATATATATATATTAATAGATAGACTCCACGGCACTTAGGACTTTGTAAATAATAAATATTAGAGATATGATACCGAAATTTTTTTAACTATACTCTAGTGAAATCCTGTCATCTGAGAGAATTTAGTGTAGAGAATGTCAGTTCGATGGTGATGTATCAAATGCTTGGGCACTGATTGAGAATTTTTTATTTTGAAATTCATTTTTACCCTTTTAAGTTTTGTATTGTTCTCATTAAAAACTATTAGATGGGCCCCTCTAGTTTTTGTAGATTGTTCATATGACGACATATTAGTCTTATAATATATCTCTTTCAAAAGTTAGCTCTTTCTTGGGAAATTTCTAGCTCCGTCCCTGCAAGCGAGGCCAAATATGTTCACATAAGATAAAGATTATTAATGATTTTTTATGTTTGATTGAATGTTGCGGGGCCCCTCCATGTAAGAGAAAATGAAGATGGCAAAGAAGATATTGATAACAATAGCTAGGAATGTTAATCAAGATGAGCTACTCGATTCTGTTCGACTTCGGGTTGGATAAGACTTAACTTGAGTTCGACTCGTGTTTTAAACAAGTTAAGTTTAAATAATTTTTTAAACTGGTTTAAAACTTATTCTAGCTCGCAAAACTCGAATGATTTATATATAAAATAGTCGAGCCACTCGGGTTTGGCTGGAACTCAGACTCGGCTCGAGTTCTAATCAAGCCGAGTTTGAACAATTTTTAAAATTTGTTTAGAAAAATGAGTTCAATAGACTCGAATTGAAATTCACAAAATTCGATTCGATTAACATCCCAAACAATAGCAACAAATAGCAAATTTAGGTGGCTTGCGAAATTCTTTGAGATTGCATCAACTCAGTCACTGCCCACCAGATTGGTTAAGGCTTTAGTGGTCTAGGCCATGGAGCCCTCAGACTGGTCAGCAGTGGCTTCCTTCTTGTTCGACATACTTGTTCACTGCACAAGGTCAAGAATATGATATAGTCTGAAAGTATAGTTCAAATAGTAATAACGACGAATTGTAAACTCAAATATTTTGAATTTAAATTTTGACAATCTTTTGAGGTTAAATTATGAGTAATTTATCTCTCACGAATACCCTAATCCTGACGTAAATGACTTACTTTTGGCCAGATCAAGAAAGAGATTAATAAAAGTGAACGTAAAGTGACTCATATACCCCCGACTGCAAAGGCAAAAAAAAAAAAAGGGGTCAAGAATATAACTTCACCTACAGTTACACATGGTGCGTTGTTTTACGAAATGCAAAGCTTAAAATATGTGTTTGGCTACTTAATTTGCCTTGATTATAGTATGTCACTACTTTTGGCTGGCCCAACTTTGAATTAGTTTGTTATACTAAATTCAAAAAAATCTTGTCCTAACGTTTTATGCTCCGTTTGATATGATGAAAAAATAGAAGGATAGAAAATTAGAAAAATCAATAAAACATCATGTTTGGTAAGGAAAATAGTAAGAATGGAAAAGTTGATAGATTAACTTTTTTTCCAACTCACCCAAATCAATTCCTCCAAAATCGGAAGGAAAGTGGATATAAAATTAATTATTTGTGTTGAGATGTTTTTTATTTGTCTATATGCATTTTTATATATACATATATTATGTATAC